AAGCCTGGACGTGTTTGATGCTCGTTAGTTTGCCTGTTGGTTCCGTTGTTGTATTCCTTGTTTTCAGTTGAGAACGTGGGATTACTTACTTGGATTGATCAATATTTAAATGGCAGGTGCCGTCGATGAAGTAGAAGACACTTACTCTTCCGGAACACCTGATCTTATTCATCTTGTACATTTTTAGGAGTCTCTTAGTAAATCTTCAGTTGCTCTCATCTTGTTCTAGTTTTATGTAATTCCTGTTTGGATTATGATGACGTTGTCATGATTTTTCAATGGCAGGCATTGTATTATTGGAATTGTTCAATCAAATATGTAATAGCGTGTTTACTTTCAGCAAATGAGTGTTCAAAACACGTCACATCTCTTATTTAATGATTCTTAAATGAGCAAAACAACTACACTCACACTGTATTAAGACTAGGAAGTCATGTTTTCTATCAAACGAAAACAAAATCAAATGAACATTATTTTCAAATCGTTCACAACGCTGACAGGTCAATTCTTGTCGAATTTCTAGTGATTCCGAGAGAACCGAAATTTCAAATCTTACTTTTATTGATTTTGATTCTTCATGGTTTAATTTCAAAATTTTATAATCAACATTTATTTAAATAGACATGACACTTTAATTTATTGAAATGATTCATCCCGAGTTATTTCTGTATCTGTAAAAACAAACAAAGATATCCATCAATTTGAAAACGGAAGAGGCTTTTGGTTCTGTGTTAGTGTAATTGAGGCTGCACCTATGTTTCGTATAGATTAATCTTGTGCACGTTGAGTTTGATAGATTTGGCTCCTATGTTCAATCAAACGATTGGTCCTATCCCACACAGTCAAAGAATACAAACAGGACGTTTATATGATAGCCCAGTGTCCCGACTCATCCTCAACACTCCCCTCGCTAACATGAATCATTGAGGAATACATATCTGCTTTTAGACAACCAAATCTAATTGATCAGAAATTAGTGTCTTTCTTTGTATGAAACGCGCACAATAAAATCGATAACATCTAAAAGCAGCCATTTGTGACGAACGCCTGTAAACCAAAACATGCTATTGTGTTTTCACAAAGAACAACCATTCAGTCACCTGAGACAAGACCCCGGATGTATAAAGCTTAGTTATCTTAAAACATCACCATAAACAGGATACAAAGACTGTCTAAAGAGATTACGATAAATAATCTCAATTTCATCTTGATAGATTTTAAACCAATTATTAAATAAACATGTACTTTATAAAGTTTAGTTATAGATCAAAATATAATTGACAGTAAATCTCTACAGCAGTAAGACATTGATAGAGTCAGGGTCGTTAGACAGTTTGTCAAAGCTTTGTCAGCTGAATCAAGTTTTAAACGTTTCAGATACGACGATTTGATTGTTTTATAGAAATAGTTCAGTTCAGAAAATAACGGCAATGACTCTACTTATACGTCATACGTTTGTAAGTAAATATAATTTGCATAGTCCTGATCTTAGTGCAAGAGAATGTCTTTAAACTAACGTAATTTCCTTAGATTTACACCAACAATTTATCTTCGTCTGATTACAAATGTCACCATGTAGTAAAATATTTTCAAGTTTACAAGGCTTACAGCACATGTGCACATATAAACATTTAGTCTGAATTGGTTTAAATATGGCCGACCTTAGACAATTTGGGAGTATTTCATGTGAAGTTGAATGAGGAGATCTTACACAAATGACAGGTAATTCATTAACATCTTTGTTTGATATATATACGTAAAACTGTATGTAAGTAAACTGACGATGTTTTAGTGTATATTGTGTAAACAATACAATTCTGATCGAGTAAGTACTTACATTGTTATAACCGAATACATTGTATAGACCCGTTATAAATAGTGTATTTATACATCACAAATACGTATCAGTCTACAGATAAAGATACATATTGTATCAGATACACCTTACATGTATAAATAAAATCGTTATAAATAGTGTATTTATACATCACAAATACGTATCAGTCAGATTGCATCAGATCAACCTTATACATATATTTTTGTATTCTCATAGAAATATTTCATACGTCAATTTTTGCAGCTGATAAATTATATATCAACAGTTCTGTTTACTAGACAAAACATATTTAGCGCATTGGTCGGATTTAGTGTAGGCGAATGAAAGTCGATATTTTAATACAACATTAGGTGTGAAACAATACCGATAATGTCTGAGGTGTTAAACAAATTAACCAGATAATATATCAATATCTCCCTACAACATCAGGTATAAATCAATATCTCCCTACCACATCAGGTATAAATCAATATCTCTCTACAACATCAGGTATAAATCAATATCTCCCTACCACATCAGGTATAAATCAATATCTCCCTACCACATCAGGTATAAATCAATATCTCCCTACTACATCAGGTATTAATCAATATCTCTCTACCACATCAGGTATAAATCAATATCTCCCTACCACATCAGGTATAAATCAATATCTCCCTACCACATCAGGTATAAATCAATATCTCTCTACAACATCAGGTATAAATCAATATCTCCCTACCACATCAGGTATAAATCAATATCTCCCTACCACATCAGGTATAAATCAATATCTCTCTACAACATCAGGTATAAATCAATATCTCTCTACAACATCAGGTATAAATCAATATCTCTCTACAACATCAGGTATAAATCAAAATCTCCCTACCACATCAGGTATAAATCAATATCTCTCTATCGCATCAGGTATAAATCAATATCTCCCTACCACATCAGGTATAAATCATTATCTCCCTACCACATCAGGTATAAATCAATATCTCCCTACCACATCAGGTATATATCAATATCTCTCTACCACATTAGGTATATATCAATATCTCCCTACAACATCAGGTATCAATCAATATCTCTCTACCACATCAGGTATATATCAATATCTCCCTACCACATCAGGTATAAATCAATATCTCAATACCACATCAGGTACAAATCAATATCTCCCTTTCACATCAGGTATATATCAATATCTCCCTACCACATCAGGTATAAATCAATATCTCCCTACCACATCAGGTATAAATCAATATCTCTCTACCACATCAGGTATCAATCAATATCTCTCTACCACATCAGGTATAAATCATTATCTCCCTACCACATCAGGTATAAATCAATATCTCCCTACAACATCAGGTATAAATCAATATCTCCCTACAACATCAGGTATAAATCAATATCTCCCTACAACATCAGGTATAAATCAATATCTCCCTACCACATCAGGTATAAATCAATATCTCTCTACCACATCAGGTATAAATCAATATCTCCCTACCACATCAGGTATAAATCAATATCTCCCTACTACATCAGGTATTAATCAATATCTCTCTACCACATCAGGTATAAATCAATATCTCTCTACAACATCAGGTATAAATCAATATCTCTCTACAACATCAGGTATAAATCAAAATCTCCCTACCACATCAGGTATAAATCAATATCTCTCTACCACATCAGGTATAAATCATTATCTCCCTACCACATCAGGTATAAATCAATATCTCCCTACCACATCAGGTATAAATCATTATCTCCCTACCACATCAGGTATAAATCAATATCTCCCTACCACATCAGGTATAAATCATTATCTCCCTACCACATCAGGTATAAATCAATATCTCCCTACCACATCAGGTATATATCAATATCTCTCTACCACATTAGGTATATATCAATATCTCCCTACAACATCAGGTATCAATCAATATCTCAATACCACATCAGGTACAAATCAATATCTCCCTTCCACATCAGGTATAAATCAATGTCTCAATACGACATCAGGTGCAAATCAATATCTCCCTACCACATCAGGTATATATCAATATCTCCCTACCACATCAAGTATATATCAATATCTCCCTACCACATCAGGTATAAATCAATATCTCCCTACCACATCAGGTATAAATCAATATCTCTCTACCACATCAGGTATCAATCAATATCTCTCTACCACATCAGGTATAAATCAATATCTCCCTACCACATCAGGTATAAATCAATATCTCCCTACAACATCAGGTATAAATCAATATCTCCCTACAACATCAGGTATAAATCAATATCTCCCTACAACATCAGGTATAAATCAATATCTCCCTACCACATCAGGTATAAATCAATATCTCCCTACAACATCAGGTATAAATCAATATCTCTCTACCACATCAGGTATAAATCAATATCTCCCTACAACATCAGGTATAAATCAATATCTCCCTACCACATCAGGTATAAATCAATATCTCTCTACCACATCAGGTATAAATCAATATCTCTCTACCACATCAGGTATATATCAATATCTCTCTACCACATCAGGTATAAATCAATATCTCCCTTCATATGAGGCATTTTCCAATATCCCGAACACACCAGATATAAGTCAATATCCCGAACACACCAGATGTAAGTCAATATCCCGAACACACCAGATATAAGTCAATATCCCGAACACACCAGATATAAGTCAATATCCCGAACACACCAGATGTAAGTCAATATCCCGAACACACCAGATATAAGTCAATATCCCGAACACACCAGATATAAGTCAATATCCCGAACACACCAGATATAAGTCAATATCCCCCTACTCTTTGTTTTATTACGACACTGTTGCCACAGAATATATAATTTATTTACCCACCTATTATCTGACGTGAAAATATAAAATACGTTAAAACTGAATCCAATTTCTTGTTTGTTTGTTGCTTTTTCAGGTCAAACATGTCATATCGGCCGCGTATCTAAAGGTCTGTTTATATCGGTAAAGTCAAATCTGGAGAGAGGCAGCCCAAAGTGAAATGATATCTAGGCCACTGAAATCACTCAATGATATCGAGAGTGACCTGTCCTGATGATGAAGTGCCAGAAGAGGGCGCTGCTATCTTTCACTTTTGCTGTCTTCTTTGTGATCCTCAGAATGACGCTGTGGCTGTCACAGCAACAAGACCACCAGTTTCAACCTGGTGGGATTGACCAGCTCGTTTCGTCAAGGAATGATGCACTTATTGGTGCAATGCAAAACGCAAATAAAAAATACCAACGAAATGTACGTACGAGAGCACGTGTGACTAAAGATGAACTTGACGATATGAACAAAGCAGAATTCTCAAATTCTACTTTGACAGAAGGACGAATCATAGCTATAATTGTCCCTCATTCTCACACCGATCCTGGCTGGCGTCTTACGGTTCAACATTACTACGACGAAAAAGTGAAGAATATACTGGATTTGGCGGTTAGTAAACTGACAATTCGGTCAGATATGACCTTTATTTGGTCAGAGGTCATATTCTTGCATATGTGGTGGAAGGATTCGGATTCTGTGAAAAGATCTATGTTAAAAACTCTGGTGCATGATGGGAGATTTGAGATAGTTGCTGGCGGTTGGGTGATGCCGGATCATGCCGTCACGCATTACGTATCACTGCTCGTTCAGATTCAAATAGCACATGAGTGGTTGTCCAAAGAATTCCAAGTATTACCGACAGTAGCCTGGTCACTCGACTCATTCGGTCACTCTCCGACTCTTTCTTACTTGTGGTCCCAAACTGGCTATAACTTTACTGTGGCCCAAAGAGTAAGTCAGAAGTACAAGCGTGTACTGGCGAGCAGACAACAGTTAGAGTTTACATGGCGACAACTATGGGACAAGACTGGGAAAACAGATATCTTTTGTCACGTGCCTCCGTATAAACTTTATAATATCGAATATGCTTGTGGCCCTGATCCGTCTGTGTGTTCACTACTCGACTTCAAGACTAAACCAGTTGATTTTTCTCACGTGATGCGTAAAAACGGGAAAGACTCTGTCATAAATCACCTCATCAACCCAATCGTTCAGGAACTCCGTCAGAAGGCGACTAATTTCAACCATGACGTTGTTCTGCTTCCTCTTGGAGACCACTTCCGTTACGATACGGAATTAGAATGGGACCAGACGTACGCTAATCTGGACATTTTCATGACATACGTGAACAATAATCCCAAATTCAACATGATGATGAAATATGGTACTATAACAGACTACCTAACAGAGGTGCAGAAGCAATTTAATACATCTAGTTCACCAATATACCATGGTGACTTCCTGCCGTATTCCGACAACTCGATCGACTACTGGACAGGGTTCTACAGTAGTCGACCGGAACAGAAAAGAGCTATTCGTGAACTACAGGAAACGTTTCAAGCAGCAAGTGTGTGGGACAGTCTTTCACTGTTTTCGGACTCTCTCCAGTCACGTGATTTAGATCACGTGGCACAGACGCTAAGCCTTTTGCAGCATCATGACGCAATAACCGGGACATCCAGGTCGGCAGTAGTCGGCGACTACAGGAGCAGAACGCGCAATGACCGAGACTTCGCCAGGAAGGTCATTTCCAGCAGTATTCAAAGAATCTTAAATTCGAAATCGGATAAAGAATCTTCAGAAAATGGCTTCTGGAAATTTTATGATTTTTCCTGGGTAAGGCCACAACTATTGACGTTTAGCTCTAGAAATGTTTGGTATGTTGTATTTGCGAATTCTTTACCACAACCGAGACATGAAATCATATCGCTTGTCATAGATATCAGTGACGTCATAGTTACAAATAATTTTGGAACCCGTGTCCCAGTGCAAGTAAACCCCTTTAAAGATAAGGACCACGCGTTGTCCCTTCATGTATATATATTACAGATTCCAGTATTTATCGAATCCATGTCTGTTGCTATTTATACGTTGATTAGGCCAGCACACAACTCGTCACAAACTCCCCGAACAAACATTGCTATCAAGAATAACCATTTCAACGCCATGCCTTTAAACATGTTCAATCTCACAGAAGTCAAACAAGACCTTCGACTATCTAACAGTTATGTCGCTGCTGTGTTTTCTCCGCAAAATGGCAGTTTGATTTATGTATATTTGAAAGAATCGGATACAAAAATTTCAGTCAGTTCAGAATTGCTTGTGTACAATTCCTCAAAAAGAGGTGGAGCTTATATATTCGCACCGCTAGGAGGCGCCCGTAATATGTTTTCATCTTCTCCGAGCATCTTCACCACATCTGGCGAGTTATCCCAACAAATAGAAATCACACACGGAGAAGTGACCTTGACCTATACTTTGTACAACACAGAAGGGGTCAATGCCAAGGTTATACATGTCACGTGTCGCGTGAACGTCAACGTGCCCGAAATGAATGACCTTGAGTTGATAGTAAGGTTCGTCACAGACATTGACAGTCGTGGTGTTTTTTACACGGATAATAATGGTTTCCAGCACACGCGAAGAAAATACCACAAAGATATACCAATCGCTGGCAACTACTATCCAATGACGACATACGCCGCGATCCAGGATAGCAGCGCGCGTTTCACTGTGCACGCAACGCACGCGCATGGTGTAACAAGCCTACATAATGGTGAATTAGAAATCATGCTTGATAGGCATCCAACCAATGACGACGGCCGAGGTTTGGGTCAAGGAATAAAATACAGTAACTCACATGTCGATGTGTTCATGCTACAGTTTGAGACATGTGACAAAGAAAGTAAAAATGTGCGCCATTCAGAAGAAATATTCCTCCATACTCTAGACAGCATACTGGCGGGCGATTGTTTACAATGTCCAGTCACTATGATACAGTCGAATAGCCAATACGAGCTGAAAACATTCAAATTTCTATCAGAAAAATTGCCGATCGATATTTCAATTGTGACGATGAAAAAGATTACTATTGCCAGTAACCAATTCAATCTTCGATTGGTCCTCCACAGACGAGGTTCTATCCAATCAGGTGTTAGAAATACTGGAACAGAACCAATCAATTTGTGGTCTCTGGTCCAGAACATGTACGCCCTGCATGTGAAAGAAATGTCCTTGACCTTTACTCATACAAAGCGTGCAGTAAGGTCAGGAGATAAAATATATCTTGAACCAATGAGAATGGCTGCTTTTGAGATCGGTCTGTTGACAGTTTGAGATTTGAGAATTCATTACCTTCAAGGTGTCTTCAATATTTTGTGTGTTCTTCCTCTTGTCTTGTCACCTCTTTTTCGCTGTAAGGGAAAAACAAGAGAGCTTGCTTTGCATCTGAATTAAATCATTTGTTGTTGTTTTTGTTTTGTTTGTTTTTTCGCCTGTGATTCAACATATTTAAAAGTCAACGTGAAAATTCATCTAGAAAGTACAACCAAAAACGGAGTGTGCACAAGAGAGAGAGTTACCCAGGAATTACCCAAGATTCAGGAAGATAAATGTATAAATACCATAATTGTGTTCTAAGAGTTAAAAAAAAAATACACACAAAGAAAATGACAACATGTCAGCATAATTGTAATCCAAACTCAAATTCCATAACTCTAGGGCAAAATATAAATAAAAGAAAAAACAGAAAAACCCACGCCGAAACTCCTGAAAAAACAGCAAGAAGAATAAGACCAGGTTTTCCGGAAGAGTAAGCGTCTTCTGCTTCATCGACGACACCCGCCACGTAAACCTTGGTCAATCTAATTAATGTAAAGTTCTCAAATGAGAAGAAGGTATAAAACTTATTAGTTTAAAAGTATTTCATTATCAGTGAGCAGATTGAGTAGGATATTACACGTTAATAACGGAATTTTATATTGGGTAAAGCTACCGATTGTACAGAAAATAAACTTCTGTGTGTATGACAAATAGTACTTTATACCCGCACTATTGTGACCTAATTAATTAGGAGAGCTTGGAAAAGGCATGTGTTTAGCTTTGTTTTCACGTGTGATCAAGAAATCAAGCGATCTGTCCACTGAGCCACCAGACCAATAGACAATGCTCCTTGCGGTAGGGTTTTCATCAGTGTGAACGGCCGGGGCTGTTATGTTCTGTCCTATTAACTTTTCCCTTGCGCTTTCTTCGGCAGTGGTACATGGTATTGTATCGTGTGATGCGATGTAATCTTTTATTTGGGAAAATGTGTTTCATAAAATGGAATTAGGTTTGTTCTTTGTGAGACCGTGCTATCTTTGGTAGGAATTTATTTATGAATGAATTTTACACGTTTTTTCATTCTGTTTACGGACACATTTAACTGTAGCTGAGAAAAAAACCTTGTGTTGATTTCAATCTTACACGCTGTTGATTTCAATCTTACACGCTGTTGATTTCAATCTTACACGCTGTTGACTTCAATCTTACACGCTGTTGACTTCAATCTTACACGCTGTTGACTTCAATCTTACACGCTGTTGATTTCAATCTTACACGCTGTTGACTTCAATCTTACACGCTGTTGACTTCAATCTTACACGCTGTTGACTTCATATCTTACACGCTGTTGACTTCAATCTTACACGCTGTTGACTTCAATCTTACACGCTGTTGACTTCAATCTTACACGCTGTTGACACGCTGTTGACTTCAATCTTACACGCTGTTGACTTCATATCTTACACGCTGTTGATTTCAATCTTACACGCTGTTGACTTCAATCTTACACGCTGTTGACTTCAATCTTACACGCTGTTGATTTCAATCTTACACGCTGTTGACTTCAATCTTACACGCTGTTGACTTCAATCTTACACGCTGTTGACTTCAATCTTACACGCTTTTGATTTCAATCTTACACGCTGTTGACTTCAATCTTACACGCTGTTGACTTCAATCTTACACGCTGTTGATTTCAATCTTACACGCAGTTGACTTCAATCTTACACGCTGTTGACTTCAATCTTACACGCTGTTGACTTCAATCTTACACGCTGTTGACTTCAATCTTACACGCTGTTGACTTCATATTTTAACATGAAAACTAATCAGGAAGAAAACAAATGACTTTAATCTAAAATGATATAATAATCATAGTAACCTCTCAAAAACATTGTTGATTCGATTCTAAATAAGGAAATAGAATTTCTAAAAATGAAGAAATAAATAGATAATTAGTTTGATCAATTAACAGAAATGAAAAACTTCGTGCCAATGTCTATATATTAACGTAACCAATAGTAACAGGTATTCAATCATCGAGGTCACCGAAACCTCATCGTTAAAAAAACTGGACCAAAACGTGATTAAGAATATCCCAAACACTTCAGGCAATAATATTGTCCTCATCTCTGCAAAGCTGAAATTGAAGAGGCGATCGCTGTCGACATGACGTCTGAAATACGGACAACTATCAAATCACCAAGGAATACATCAACACAGGACCGAATCAGACAGCCTATATAATTATCATTGCTTCAATGTGTGGCACATAGCTTAATGATCAATAATACTAGCCTGAAGCTTGGCACTAAATTATTCAACGGAAACCTGAAAAAAACATTGTTAAACTTTAGAGGTTTCTAAACGATGAAATATATCTACAAATGAAATGATATCGTTAAAAATACCAACCCCCCCCCCTCCAATAATAATAAAAAAAAAACAAACAAACAAAAACACTATACCTTATATGTGTCAATGTAAGTCTTCCTGGACAATAACAAAACTGACATGGCTGACCCTTGAAGATACAACTCCATCAATATAAAACAAACTTTACCTTATCACGCCTCCTCCTACCCTAGTATCCTTCATCACGTCTCCCCTCTATAGGTGTAATGCCTTACCACACCTTCTACCCGTGTATCCTTCATTATGTCTCCCCTCTATAGGTGTAATGCCTTACCACACCTTCTACCCGTGTATCCTTCATTATGTCTCCCCTCTTTAGGTGTAATTCCTTTCCACACCTCCTTCTACCCGTGTATCCTTCATTATGTCTCCCCTCTTTAGGTGTAACACCTTACCACGCCTCCTCCTACCCTAGTATCCTTCATTATGTCTCCCCTCTATAGGTGTAATGCCTTACCACACCTTCTACCCGTGTATCCTTCATTATGTCTCCCCTCTTTAGGTGTAACACCTTACCACGCCTCCTCCTACCCGTGTATCCTTCACCACGTCTCCCCTCTATAGGTATAATTCCTTTCCACACCTCTTTCTAACCATGTACCCTTCATCACGTTTTCCCTCCATAGTTGTAACACCTTTCCACGCCTCCTTCTACCCGTGTACCCTTCATCACGTCTCCCCTCTTTAGGTGTAACACCTTATCACGCCTCCTCCTACCCATGTACCCTTCATCACGTTTTCCCTCCATAGTTGTAACACCTTTCCACACCTCCTTCTACCCGTGTACCCTTCATCACGTCTCCCCTCTATAGGTGTAACACCTTACCACGCCTCCTCCTACCCGTGTACCCTTCATCAGGTCTCCCCTCTATAGGTGTAACACCTTACCACGCCTCCTTCTACCCGTGTACCCTTCATCACGTCTTCCCTCTTTAGGTGTAACACCTTATCACGCCTCCTTCTATCCGTGTACCCTTGATCACGTTTTCCCTCCATAGTTGTAACACCTTATCATGCCTCCTCCTACCCATGTACCCTTCACCACGTCTCTCCTCTATAGGTATAATTCCTTTCCACACCTCTTTCTAATCATGTACCCTTCACCACGTCTCCTCTCTATAGGCGTAACACCTAAACACACCTCTTTCTACCCGTGTACCCTTCATCACGTCTCCCCTCTATAGGTGTAACACCTTATCACGCCTCCTCCTACCCATGTACCCTTCGTCACGTTTTCCCTCCATAGTTGTAACACCTTTTCACGCCTCCTTCTACCCGTGTACCCTTCATCACGTCTCCCCTCTATAGGTGTAACACCTGATCACGCCTCCTCCTACCCGTGTACCCTTCATCACGTCTCCTCTCTATAGGTGTAACACCTTATCACGCCTCCTCCTACCTGTGTACCCTTCATCACGTCTCCCCTCTATAGGTGTAACACCTTATCACGCCTCCTCCTACCTGTGTACCCTTCATCACGTCTCCCCTTTATAGGTGTAATTCATTACCACGCCTCCTTCAACCCGTGTACCCCATATCACGTCTCCCCTCTATAGGTGTAACACCTTACGATACCTTCTCCATGTACCCTATAGGTGTACCCCTTATCACGTCTCCCCTCTATAGGTGTAACACCTTACCACGCCTCCTTCTACCCGTGTACCCTTCATCACGTCTCCCCTCTTTAGGTGTAACACCTTATCACGCCTCCTCCTACCCATGTACCCTTCATCACGCCATAGTTGTAACACCTTTCCACCTACCCGTGTACCCTTCATCACGTCTCCTCTCTATAGGTGTAACACCTTATCACGCCTCCTCCTACCCGTGTACCCTTCATCAGGTCTCCCCTCTATAGGTGTAACACCTTACCACGTCTACCCCCCTCTATAGGTGTAACACCTTATCACGCCTCCTCCTACCTGTGTACCCTTCATCACGTCTTCCCCTTCTATAGGTGTAATTCCTTTCCACACCTCCACGCCTACCCTTCACCACCTCGTGTAAACACACCCCATCATCACGTCTCCCCTCTATAGGTGTAACACCTTATCACGCCTCCTCCTACCCATGTACCCCCCTCCCTATAGGTGTAACACCTTTTCACGCCTCCTTCTACCCGTGTACCCTTCATCACGTCTCCCCTCTATAGGTGTAACACCTTACCACGCCTCCTTCTACCCGTGTACCCTTCATCACGTCTTCCCTCTATAGGTGTAACACCTTATCACGCCTCCTTCTACCCGTGTACCCTTCATCACGTCTCCCCTCTATAGGTGTAACACCTGATCACGCCTCCTCCTACCCGTGTACCCTTCACCACGTCTCCCCTCTATAGGTATAATTCCTTTCCACACCTCTTTCTAATCATGTACCCTTCACCACGTCTCCTCTCTATAGGCGTAACACCTAAACACACCTCTTTCTACCCGTGTACCCTTCATCACGTCTCCCCTCTATAGGTGTAACACCTTATCACGCCTCCTCCTACCCATGTACCCTTCATCACGTTTTCCCTCCATAGTTGTAACACCTTTTCACGCCTCCTTCTACCCGTGTACCCTTCATCACGTCTCCCCTCTATAGGTGTAACACCTGATCACGCCTCCTCCTACCCGTGTACCCTTCATCACGTCTCCTCTCTATAGGTGTAACACCTTATCACGCCTCCTCCTACCTGTGTACCCTTCAGCACGTCTCCCCTCTATAGGTGTAACACCTTATCACGCCTCCTCCTACCTGTGTACCCTTCATCACGTCTCCCCTTTATAGGTGTAATTCATTACCACGCCTCCTTCAACCCGTGTACCCCATATCACGTCTCCCCTCTATAGGTGTAACACCTTACGATACCTTCTACCCATGTACCCCTCTATAGGTGTAACATCTTATCACGCATCTTTCTAACTGTGTATCCTTCCCCACATCTCCCCTCTATAGGTGTAACACCTTACCACGCCTCCTTCTACCCGTGTACCCTTCATCATGTCTCCCCTCTATAGGTGTACCACCTTACCACGCCTCCTTCTACCCGTGTACCCTTCATCACGTCTCCCCTCTATAGGTGTAATGCCTTACCACGCCTCCTTCTACCCGTGTACCCTTCATCACGTCTCCCTTCTATAGGTGTAGTGCCTTACCACGCCTCCTTCTACCTGTGTGCCCTTCGTCACTTCTCTACTCTATACGTCACTCTATTCATGAACACTCCTTGACCACGTCACACTTTTCATAAACACTCCTTGACTACGCTTCTCTTTACATGAACACTCCTTATGAACACTCCTTGACCACGCATCTCTTGACATGAACACTCCTTGACTACGCCTCTCTTTACATGAACACTCCTTGACCACGCCTCTCTTTACATGAACACCACTTGACTACGCCTCTCTTTACATGAACACTCCTTGACTACGCCTCTCTTTACATGAACACTCCTTTGCCACGCTTCTCTTTACATGAACACTCCTTTACCACGCTTCTCTTTACATGAACAATCCTTGATTACGCCTCTCTTTACATGAACACTCCTTTACCACGCTTCTCTTTACATGAACACTCCTTTACCACGCTTCTCTTTACATGAACAATCCTTGATTACGCCTCTCTTTACATGAACACTCCTTTACCACGCTTCTCTTTACATGAACACCACTCGACCACGCCACTCTTTACAGGAGTACTCTCGAACGGCGCACTTCTATTACATGTGTTAACAAAAGTTATTCCTCTGTTTGATATCAGTTGTACTCTAACGTATTCAATGGTTGCCAAACAGTCAAATGAAAATCGCGATGCAAACATGTTGACCAAGGCAATATTTCATTTAAATTATATTTCGTCGAGTTATCGTTGAAGCTTCCGGGAAAAGTAATGGGTAATTCATCTTAATATTGAATTGAATTTGTGGGATGAATCTCAATTTGCTGAACACTAAAGTGAAACAGTGTGCTACTGTTGACACTAATGATGTAATAATATAACAACTTCCGGTTAATATTATGACAAACTGACAACTTGTTCGCCATCCGATATGTATGCATCGAGGCTTTTGTGAAAATTACTTTTCTATATTGATATCTCTATGACTGTTCCTAACGAGCGCTCTCGTGTTTCCCTGCATGGACCGATAAAATATAGAAAAAAATTGCAATGTAACACGTGGCGATATTAAACTGTATTTCAACCGGAAATATAATTGGGTTGAAACGGCCATTAAATGGCAAGGCTCTTGCTAGTTTGGAAACAACAAAGAGTTTTACAGCCATCTGTCTGCAGGCTGGGAATACATTGGCTGGAATGGAAGCTAGCGAGCCAATATCTCGTGGGATTTAGTACAACAACCATCAATTGTCTATTATCAGCACTAATTCCTCTGCGATCTAAAATGTGCAATTTGTTTCGGAACTCGGCCACCATTCTACCGCTAGTTGATGAAAGCCTTGTCTATAAATATTGACAATAATGTATAACATACAGTCGTAAATGGAGTATATCATTGTGTTAGTTTAAGAAGACCTCCGAGTCAAAAGTGACATTTTACTTTCGCAAAGACTTACTTCAAACATAAAACGATTGGCTGAACTGTTTAACAGTTAATCGATTGCTTTAATGTGGCATGGCGTTTTGTTTGCTTTGAAAATCGTATCATTGTTTAGAGAGTAAGAAGAAACCCGTATCATTGTTTAGAGATTAAGAACTCGATGATTAAGTTTGGAGTGTGCGCGGACATTATACTAAGGCTTACACATAAAACAATGTAAGGACACTTTGTTTTGATATTTCGGAATGGGCATGTGATTCTAAAGGAGGACTTCTCACAGAGATAGAACAGGAGAGCAAGCATCATACTGACGTCACGGAAGAGTCGGCGAGAGTGCGGGTTTACAGGTGGCTTATTCCACAACTGATAGGGAAGATTAACGGTATATACCTACCAGGGGAAAAACACTTATCGTGCATGATCGAATGTTGAAACAATTCTGATATTGCAGGGTTATCATAGAGTTTCAGAACTGGATAAGAAATATTCATCAAAGGTACGGTTCTTCCAAAAGGCTAATTAATCAAGATGTCTTGTATCGTTAGTAAACAAAGAGCGGATGAGCCATGCCTTATTTATACACAGTATACAGAATCAATCATCACATAGGGCATACGAGGAACAATTTTGATTTGAGATTTTGAATAACAGTAACTGTTTGGAGATAAAATCAATCTGTCATACGTGTCAGTCACGTGATGTATGACGTGTCTGAAGTATCAGTGTTTTAGTGTAGAAAGCACTGTAGGTACTGTATGTCGGCAAATATAGGACTCGGAACACTTCAAGACAATTGTAAATCAACTGGGTGAAAGCGATGGGACCGATTAAAAGAAGGCGGGTGTATTTTTTCTATGTCCATTTCTCATGTCGAGGTGTGACGGATCCTTGATGAACAAAGTGTTTTTACAAGAAGACCGGAATTGATAACGTTATGGTTGATCAATACATACACACCGCCACGCCAGAGTTATTAAGTTCGTGTCATATACTGGAGTAAGAGATCAATTGTGGCACTAAATCGCACGAGGTACGTTTAAGTCATCAAGGCGGAATATATCATATGACGTCAACAACACAGTTGTATATTGAATTATTTCCGTTACTAAGGAAACGAGGAAATGGCGGATGCGAATGACACCGAGTTAATATCATTCAATAACGGATTTTCTTGGAATGTGCTGAACAGTGACGTAAACAGAAGTCTACTTCCGGTGACTGTGATTCTTGGATTGTATCTTCTTGCAGGGGTAATTGGAAACTTTCTTGTTATTTTTATTTATGTATTTAGATGGGAAGCGCCAAAGACAGATCGCTTTTTCGTTCCAATATTAGCTGTTTTAGATATGTGTGCCTGTGTAATTTCTGCCGGGGTTGGCATTTATGCAAATATGAATATTGTAAGATTTCGTAGTGACGTCCTTTGTAAAATTGTGGCCTTTCTCGGTATATTTTTTGTGAAGATGTCAGGCGATCTATTGGCTATTATCGCTGTTGATCGTTATCTAAAACTCAATAAGCCATTCGAACCACAAATGTCATTTCGATGGAAGAAAATTTCTGTTTTGATTGCGAGTGTGACAGGTTTATTAATGGCTATGCCAGCACTGTTTACATACGGTGTCATTCCGCTAAAACACCCTGGCACAGGTGACATGGGCTGGCTTTGTGCAAATAGCAATACTCCTCACCAGAAACACATTACTCTTGAGTGGAGCCTTAAAGTTTGTTATCAATTTGCCATGTTGTTCGACGTTCTCGCTCGGTTTGTAGGACTAGTAGTATGTTATTTTCACATTGGAAAGAAAATATATAAACATTCGGAAAAACGTTGTCAACTAAGACTACAGCAAGGACAAAATGTTCCAAACAGGCCGATCTGTGTAAATAAACGTGCCGAAGAGACAGAATTAGACGTTCTGTCGTCAAACACAGGAAGGGAGACCACTCCATCCACAATCGTTCGAATGTCCCGCCAGAGCAGTAGATTTGATTGTCAGAGAGTTCGGTTAACGATGATATTCATGCTGATAACTGTGATATATATTGTAACTATGGGACCAAAACTAGTGATTATGATTGCGGATTCTGTATTAGAACGTTTCTGGACAATCGAACCGACCCCGAAGTTTGGAATATTACGTTTTCTTTACACATGTTTTATTTTTAACAACGTGGTGAACCCGTTTATTTATGGCTTCCTGGATAGGAGATTCAGATCTGAATTATATAAACTGTTTACTCGTAGTCATAATTGAAATAATTTCATCACGTGACTGTCATGTGACATTCAATGATAACATATTATTTGGTTTTATCAAGCACACCGAGACAATGTCCTAAGGCTTTGGGCATGTATCATGCACAATGTGGAATCAGGTGACCCTATAGGTCTAATATTTACTAAATTTCATTAGAAGATAAACGAAAACGCTCCAAATAATTTCTCTGAATAATAAGATAAGATTGCTTAAAATCCTAACATGCGGATTTTTCTCCAGTCGAAATCAGATGCGTACAAATTTACGGAGATGGTGAGCTCGTTGATCAGCAATAAACAGTGGATTCATGTATAACACAGCCATATATACTGAACTGTCTTGTTACGTTAAGGATTGTAATGACCGGACATATTTTCTGATTAAAACCGTGCGCCAAAATTGAGCCGAATGTCTGCAGGCAATTAGATAAGATTCTTAACATGAAGAACGGCATGAACAAAAAAAGTGCTAAAATTCTAAAAAGATCTTCTTGGCCATGCGGAAAAATACCAATTCAAACTGCTGAGGATGTCAATGAAAGACAAAGTACTGGTATCTTTTGGAATAATTCATATTCATTAAGAAATTTGATTATATATTATAAAATAAATATATTATACTTTGTGGCAGACCAATAAAAACTAAATCAGTACGTCCATTAACTGTAGTTTTATATTGACTTTTCGATGGATCCACTCAAAATTGTTCCATAAACGTTAAAGCTATGTTGTTATCTTAACATGTATCTAACTCACGCCTGTTTTGAATACGTTAAAAAAAACACAGATTTCATTTGTTTTGATAGCTTCGTAATTCAAGACCATGTAAACTACAAATGCAACTATCACATCAAAGACAACTTGAATAAAAAAACAATGGCTACAAACGGTCATGGTACACATATTGATCAACCTAAAATATCACTAAGTTTGGCGACACACAATATATTTTGTTTCTAAAGCTAAATAAATAACAAGTTCACTTCCTGTCCGTGTGTAGGGAGTTGCCCTGTCATGTAGTAGCTATATCTGGTTACATCTTCATGCAGTGAATCATAACGAGATCAAAATAATATTCATGTCAAAACATGCTTAATTAAAGTTCTAGTTTTATTTTATTAACGATGCGGTTAAAATTTGTATTTATATTTATATTATATGTAAACAATGCATATTATGCTAGATTGTTTGTGAAATTGCTTACAAAATTAAATTATGCAAATATTTTATGAATTCCGATTTTATACAGTCGATCAAGGATGTATGTATTTTATAGCCCTCAATTGATTCAAATAAAAAGTTGCTGCCTAAAAGTAATAGTTAACTCCCCTCCCACAGTAACTGTTTTGTCGTCTTAATTTCATTCTGTGTTGAGTGAAAATTGTAGATCAAATGTAACGTCTGTACATTTTAGAGCTTAACTTGAGTGTGGTTTAAAATGATTTGTTCATGTTTCAAATTAAACAAAAATGAAATTGAATTGAACTATAGATTTATTTTCTGATTTTATTTAAAATAAAACAGAGACGTATATATAATACGTGTTATATACGTGTCTCTGATTAATGTAAGCAGTCAGTCCGACATGGGATTGCGGCAGATAAGCCTTGCCGCAAATTTATTAAAGAGTTATCTTCCCTTTAAAGTGTTGAAAGATTTCAGAATGTTGGTCCAATTCCAAAATTAGATATTGATTGATATGAGACAGGAGGGATTTACACCAGAAAGCATAAATCGCGTGTAGATATTCACCGTTATTTACCGTAATTATAAATATTGTAAATGGTAAAAACATATCACAATTGATAAGTCCGATTTTGAACAATGGTAATATTTTATGAGGAGTAACACCAAAGCATTCATTAATGTAACGGCCACAATTTTCACAATCAAACATTCCATCTATTACTTAGCTACTGGAGCACGTGCAGTTATCTTTGTTATATATATATATATAATTTTATTGGTTTTAGGCAAATCATCAAGAAATAAAATTCTGTGGAAACGTATTTTGTGTCAAAACTATATTTATTAAAACATCTAAAATAATTGTGAAGGACGGAAACACTTTTTAAAGAAGAGAAAGAAAAACCAAAAAGAAAGAAAAAACAATACCAATATATGTACAATTGCATAAATCTATGTAGTTAAGTATTACAATATACACATGTATTCTTCGGTATAACAGATACTTGTTTTTGTGATGTTACCTTTGTTTTTATTTTGCGTCTTTTTGCCCGTCTTGTTAATCGACAAGAAAAAAAAAAAAAAAAAACAAGCAAAAAAAAACCCAAACAAACAAAATACAAAAAACCGAGTGACCCGTGAATTTTCCGTAAGTTTCTACAGCTTCAAGGATGATCAGTTTACCCCTTGTTTTAGTACCGGATCAGTGTAACTGTTTAACTATTGAAAGTCTTTATATACTGATGTAATGATACATTACTCTCTATACCAATAAATCAGTTTCCAATAGTACGAACAGGAAGATACAAGCTTTGAATCTTTACACAAGTGTTCGATAGTCCGGACAAAAGGGAACATATATCTTTCTATATCGTATAACAAAACACAAGTGTTCGATAGTCCGGACAAAAAGGAACATATATCTTTCTATATCGTATAACAAAACACAAGTGTTCGATAGTCCGGACAAAAAGGAACATATATCTCTTTATACCGTATGATTAAACATAAGTGTTCGATAGTCTGGACAAAAGGGAATATATTTCTCTCTATACCGTATAATAAAACACAAGTGTTCAATAGTCCGGACAAAAGGGAACATATATCTTTCTATATCGTATAACAAAACATAAGTGTTCGATAGTCCGGACAAAAGGGAATAAATTTCTCTCTATACCGTATAACAAAACATAAGTGTTCGATAGTCCGGACAAAAGGGAATAAATTTCTCTCTATACCGTTTAACAAAACATAAGTGTTCGATAGTCCGGACAAAAGGGAATAAATTTCTCTCTATACCGTTTAACAAAACATAAGTGTTCGATAGTCCGGACAAAAGGGAATAAATTTCTCTCTATACCGTTTAACAAAACATAAGTGTTCGATAGTATGGACAAAAGGGAATATATTTCTCTCTATACCGTATAACAAAACACAAGTGTTCGATAGTCCGGATAAAAGGGAACATATATCTTTCTATATCGTATAACAAAACACAAGTGTTCGATAGTCCGGATAAAAGGGAACATATATCTTTCTATATCGTATAACAAAACATAAGTGGTCGATAGTCTGGACAAAAAGGAACATATATCTCTTTATACCGTATGATAAAACACAAGTGTTCGATAGTCTGGACAAAAGGGAATATATTTCTCTCTATACCGTATAACAAAACACAGGTGTTCGATAGTCCGGACAAAAGGGAACATATATCTTTCTATATCGTATAACAAAACATAAGTGGTCGATAGTCTGGACAAAAGGGAATATATTTCTCTCTATACCGTATAACAAAACACAGGTGTTCGATAGTCCGGACAAAAGGGAACATATATCTTTCTATATCGTATAACAAAACATAAGTGGTCGATAGTCTGGACAAAAAGGAACATATATCTTTCTATATCGTATAACGAAACACAAGCGTTCGATAGTCTGGACTAAAGGAAACATATTTCTTTCTATACCCTATAAGAATGCGGCCGAAATGGAACAGGCGCTATATCGAACACCTCTAAACCAGTTCCCGCGATACGGGAGATTTATGTTCACTTCTAGGATACACTAGGATTATAAGTGAAAATCAATTAACTATAATTAATTGCTTCGAATATTTCCAATCGTCTAACTGATATACCCGAAAACATTATAATGATAAGCATTACTTTGGAATCATAATCAATCCTTCCGATCGTTCTCCTTTAATTGGCGCATTGAATTCAAACTGTTTGTTCATTCTTTCTTTTTCTAGAAGACGTCAGATCTTGTTCAAAATTTAGTAGCCGTTTGTTGACGTAGTAAACGTTGATTTTAAGTCGTATTCACAACGTTTAGTGAGGTTAAAAAAAGCAATGGGAAGTAGTAGCATACATTAAGCTGTTGAGCAAGTGTAACAAATTCAAACGCATGTACGACTCGTCCGTCACTTCCGGTTACATGTCAACAGTGATAAGCGGAAGTAGTAGAAGCTGTTGGGTCTGTCACTACTTGATCCGAAATTTAACCTCACTCATTCGGTAAGACTATCTCTTGCAAAATTAGAGGGAATTCTAAAGCTGTTAAAACGGTGGTGATCAGCGTACAGTCAGTCATAAGTGATGAAGTTGTCGGCTCTGTCACTTCTTGGTCTATCGTCAAATAGAAAAATTCACCAATGATATTTCTCGTAGTCATTCGGTAGGGTTCCCTCGTGTAAGAATGTTCCGACATTCTTAAAAATGGCTGTTTACCACGTATCTGATCAAAACTAATGAAATTACCATTTTGGTCCTTTCTTGGTCCGTGAATTAATCAGCCGATTAATGTCCAAACGAAATTCATCCGTGGCCTTAAACACCATGTAAACAACGATTATGTCTGAACGGAAATGACCCACAACCTTAAATCGTGTCTGTTCGGTCGATTCCGTACCTTCCATTTGATTTATTATCGTTACATAAATACGGAATCAGTCGAAATGTGACGAGCAAGTCTTAAACACCACCGGAGAACAACGACCGCACCCGAGATGGAGAGCCGAACGCACTGAGTGCTAATGCTTGTAGTTCTCGCTCTCTCTGCTGCTTCTTCTGGTAACGGGACTCGACTGAAAAGAAATTTAAAGAAAAAATATCAAGGTTATAATTAAAAGAATTTTGGTTATAAACGTTTTAATTTGTTTTCTTCTATACCTACTTATGTTTCCATCTATTCAGCATTACAGATCCAGATAGAACATTTCCTTTGTTGAAATTTCGATCTATACTATCATAAATCAAATTAGACCAATGTCAAGGAAGGTCCCGCCTATAAGCTATCGCTCGGAAGGTTTCGCCTTTGCTTGAATATTGTTTCAAGAGAATTATAGAAAAATCAGCATGCAGATGCCTGTTGGAAAATGCACGTGGCGTTGTTCCATGTCTAACTAGACAGTTGTTAGAATTAAACATGGCTCACGTCGAAATTATTGTATTGAATGATATGACATTGCAAATTTTCCGCATTCAAAGTGCCATAAGCCTTGCACATAACGACAGATTTCACTGGTTATCGAACCCACACAAAGTCTCGTGTATTAAAGTACAACAGATACACAAGTAAACAACGACTTTAATACATATTTAGAGTTAGATACAAGAGAGAGATTTGGTGAAAATACGAAAACAGCCATGAAAGACATTGTGCAGAATAGCATTAAATCGACAGTTCGTTCAAATTCCCATATCTCTTCTAGATATGAACGGATTTCATTGGTTATCGAGTTCCTGCAATGTCTCTTGTACATAAACTCACTAACCAAATTTGGAGGAAACCCTACTGCAAATACGTAGTGTGCGAAAAGTAATAAAATAGTGTGCTTCGGTATTCAAAGTCCCATTAATCTTTCAAATATTGATGGATGGCATTGGTGAGGCCTAATATATATATATATGAAACTACAAACGAAATATGGAGAACATTCGACTACAAATACACAAGTTATTGTGCAGAAGGTGGTAAAATGATCAATTCTCGGCATTCAAAGTCCCATAACTCTTGCTAATGTTTAGGTATTTCGCTAGTTTGCAAACCCATCGGACTACAAATACACCAGTTATCACGAGTAAAGTGATAAAATGGAAATCTGGCACAAATACACAAGTTATTGTGCGGAAAGAAAAAAACGGACGGACGGACTGACGGACAAGCTAATTAGTATAGGGCACCGCATCTTAACGCAGGGCCATTATTTTTAAAAACTGGAGTATTCCAAAAATCATTGGCGTTGTCTTCTCGTATCTATTTAAAAAAACATGCACACTTTTATACGAGCCGGCTTCCTAATCTCTCAACCAACTGGAGACCATTGACCCATGCCAGACACCAGAACCTGTCAATCTTCACTTTGTTCTATAAACACTTACTTACCGACAATAGATCTAAAGCCCATTTCGATATTACAATTAATATTCTGCAACCAGCATCTTCACCGTTTTCTCTCGTACCCTAAACTTATTGCGACGGAGAACGTTGTGAGACCCCAAGCTAGACTTCAAAACAAGCCAACATTCACCTTCTTCTACCGTCCCCTACACTTACCTGCGACAGAGACCATTGTGAGACCCCAGGCCAGACTCCAGAACCAGCCAACCAACAGGAAAGTGACTGTAAACAGTTGTGCCACGCCTACCATGATATTGACACACAGAGTGACTGTAATTTGATCATCCTTGGCTTGTACTCTCGACTTCCCGCAACACAGGATAGAACAACCACTGAGAATTGTACCTTAGAGAAATAAACATCGTTTTTTATCTGATCTGTTAGTGAATTAAATGATTTTAAACTCACAAACCAAAATATATATTCAAAAGAATAAAACGGAGGTTCTCTTAATACCAAATCCGATAAAATGATAGACTTCGTTCCAATTTTGTGGTGAAATAGATCATTGTAAACATATTCTCCCTAAAAGCATTAATATTTTTAAGAATATATTGTTTACTTTAAAAATGAGTTGTAAAAATCAATTGATTTTTTCAAATGAATGTGTAATTTAAACATTCTGGAGCGCGATATAATAAGACAACGTAATCAATAATATCGGGAGCCGACGTGGTCAGATAATTTCCGGATTATTATGACAGTTTAATTACCGTCAAACACAAGACGAGTAGATGATTTAATGTGTCGAAAAATTAATAATGGATTCTATTATAAAGTTAATGCATTGTGCTCATATATTGTAAATGCCAATAATGATTTTAACCTAGACAGAGGATAAACAATTCAATGTTATCGATTTATGAAATAGATATTACATGGCCCTACTCGGTGCCGACAGTAGGGACAATAGACAGAGGTAGCCTGTCATCCGGGTCTAATTCATCTACAGGAATTTTCCCGGAAGAATGTTTGATTGTTCTTTCCGTTCATTTGGACAAAAATATTGTAATTAAAAAATAAATGACGTCATACCAATGATACACACAACTGATGACGTCACTTTAAAAGAAAATAACAATGAGCTGCGCCTTTCTACAGAAACGTTGATGCCATAATAAGGTAAAAGACTCGTTTTAAAGTTAGTGTCGATATATTTTAATACAAATTTTTACATGCGTTTTATTTAACATAAAATCGAATTTCGTTATCTCGAACTCGTATACGTCGAAGACCGCGTTTAATTCGAGCCATTTTGTCGGTCCCTGTCTAACTACGCAAAACCATTCGAACTCACTTAACACGAACACCAGGATATCTCGAAGTTTCCCAATGGTCCCGCCAGTTCGGAATAAAGACGTCCGACTGTTATAGATCTTCCGGGCAATTCATTTTTGACATTATATAACATTTGTGTAAAAAATCATTCGTTAGTATTATTGATGAAACTTAATTTGATATTTAAAAGTTTTTAGATTCCCATCAAAATTTAAATATATTTGTATATAGCCATCAAATATTGTGATTATTTGTGATTCATTAGAATCAATACATGTACGTATCGCTCAACTAACACGATCACGTGACAATGTTCGATCAGTGAGTGAGAAACTTTTTTGATAATACATCACGAATAAACACGTATATCCAAGTGCCATTTTCAAAAAAAACTTTTAAGTAAAAAATTCACGAGCTCTGTGTCTAAGTTTGACGTCATAAACGTAGCCTCGTTTTAAAATAAGCCACACGAATATAAAATCGTAAACAAACGTTCCAATTAGCTGTGACGTCTGTATCAGCAGTCTGTGTAATTGATAAAATTAGCAGATGGTATCAACGACTTTGATGTGCAGAAACATAAGCAAATCAACTTGCGAAGTTCGTTAAAATTAGTGTCAGGTAAATTGTGGCTTAACATAACGGGACTATCCAGTTCTTTAATTACACATAAAACACTTTAACTTGCGATGGAAGTATAAGATATTCTTAGATTTATGAGGGAAATTAAACTGTACGTTACCATGGTAACGTCATCAAAATGAGACACTAAAAACCGCCAGGGACAACTCACTGATACAGGAGCCGGACCCGAAGTTTTGTAGACAACTAAAGCAGAAATATATAGAATTTATTTAAATTTTTTGTTAGATTTTTTTCTTAAATGGTATCATATTAGTGAAAGTATTTCATTCATGTGCTTTCTATGATAATACGCTGTTGTCTTTGAATACTATATATGTAAAAACCGTTAAATGAGTTATACTAATGAATATTGTACATATTTTCTTCATATCATTATAATGGATAGTTGGTACACCATTCGACATATGATCATATACACTTCATACAGCCGTTCTAAACTACATCTCATTATTTTTGTTCTGTGTAATGTCATGATGAACACTAACACGTTTTGAACGAGGTTTCCTTCTTTTAACTGATTGCTACCACAATGAACGTTATGCAAAAGGCCCACCACATGATATCAAGAGCAACATCGATACAGTCTCTCATCAAAAAGCACAACCACTAATTCCTAAGGTGATATGTGATCTCAGTTTGGAGAGAAAGTCTGTCGTTCTATTGTCCCACCTACATTTATGCTCAAACTACTCATTCCCAGACGTTCATAACTGATCCTTACTAGTGACGTATACACAAGCAATATGCTTACCAGATCCGGGTATTAAAATGTTGAAAACGAGGCAAGTGATTGCAAACCAAAGAGGAAGTGAAGGAATGGCTGATCGTATCCATGAATCATTGTTTGAAAACACGGATTTTTGGGGCTTGTCTTCCGTAGGGTACACTACTCCAGCTGTTTGTAGAGCTGCATCAACAGAAACGTGAGACGCTCCATCCAGCGAAAGTTTCGAAGATTCTCGTCTCGAAACCGATTTCTTGCTGTCTGGCGTATCTAGTCTTTCTTTTTTCGTTGTTGGCGTTTTAGGTGGCGCTAAAGTCGATTTTTCACGAAAAAAAGAGTTTTCCTTTCTCGGAGGAATTCCATTTGATATTAGTGAAATCCCGTTTGGTGCCAGCGGTTTGTCTTTCGAAGATTCCTGTACATTGCTTTTTGAATTGTCTTCTTTTTGTTTAACACTATCTGCACTTGATTTTGCTTCAGAATGATCTTTTTCTATCTCAACAACTACGTTAGGATTTTGTTTTTCCCTTTCTAAATTATTATTTTTGATATTATCTGCTTCTGTGTTTGCATCAGACGAGCCTTTCTCAACGTGTTTTATCACGTCCACAGGACCATCGACTGTAATGTCTTCCACTTCAATATCAATCACACTCTCAGGTTCCGTCTTTGATTCCTGATTTCCTTGAGTCGCTTGCAGTGATTTTCCTGTTTTCTTTGACCCTACTGACTTCAAAGAATTCCATTTTCCTACTGGGCCTGATTTGGCGCTTTTGAATAGACGCCCTTTTGACTTTTGTCGCCCTAAAGATCCATTGCTGGCCTTTACTTCCGGTGCGCCTCGTTTTGAATCTGTTGAACTACCGCCTTTAGATGACATCACGTGTCTATTATCAGTACGTCATCAACTAGTCGTCAAAGTGCCAGCTTCCTAAATAGAGAAAACAATTAATTAATTTCATCGAAACGAAAATAATCAATGTATTCATTGAACAACTGATAACAATCACTCCAATTGGTATCACATTATTCTTATCATGAAACCCTGGGTAAAAACTCTTTGGCAGTTAATTCAATAATTTCCACTTCCGGTCATGGAATCGAACTCAGATCGACTAACCAATAAACTATAACGCCTATTTTGATTTCGTTCATGCTTTTTGGTTGATCTGTCTAATGAATAATTGATCAAGTAATCTCCATCTGGAGGTTCTATAAATATTTCTGTTGTCCTGACAGAAGTTATGTACCTAACAACATGTACAATTGAATAGATGGAAATGACATTAAAATGTATTACAAATGTCATTAAACTATTGGGTCAGTGATATGTTCATACAGTTATTTACAGTTTGAAATACAATGCTTCTGCTGATTGTGCACCGCAGCTTATCATATAACATTTGGATCAATTCCAGCTCTTTGCTCTGAAACGTTAGAGATTTGATTAAGAATATCATAGTCACACATCAAGCGCCATTAACGCACTACTCCGAAAAAAAATTATCTTTACTGTAGTTCCAGAAAATCCAAACCTGACATAATAGAGTGTTGATTAAAGATTAATTACAGCGTGTACAATAGAGGTTACTTAGACCTAATGACCAGAATTTTCTATTACACATTCATTGTAAAATCAATGCACGTCGTTAAGGTTCATGTTACCGGAAGTGTCTTTCACGCATGTCCAACAGTGAGAATCTGATTAAGAACCGCTACAGTGTGTAATGTGAACTCGGCTGTTTTTAGAAAATGTATTATATCTGAACATTGACCTATGAAACTATAAGTAGGTGTCCAACATAGATTACCCTCATGGTTACGGATTTTTTTTTTATTAATTCCTAAATTTTTAATATTTTCGTACGGCGGTAGACCGTCATTTGCAATACACAGTAACTGCAGATTTACACTGCACTCCGTGCATGTATATATATCACCCCGACAACATAAACATGCTGTACCAGTAAAACCATGTAAAATAAAATATAACGATTAGAAAAGAAATCTCAATAAATAATAAGTTAGTCTATGTGATGTGTCTACCGTCAGCAATCTCCAAGATTGTACAAATATCTCCGATATAGATCTGCTACCTTCCCGTCAGTCTACACATATCTTATCAGATCAGTACTTCCGGGGGATTATAACGGTCCCTGTTCAAAATACACCTGATAAAAAATGTTAATTTGTTTACACATCTTAAATATTTGATGTGAATGTTTGACAGGACATAAATCAGTTGCTGTTTTGTTTTCCCTTTTATTACGTATTCACATGTAAACACATTCTCTACAACAGATTACTGGGTATTACGAAATATAAACGGACGGTTATAAAGGACATACATTACAGCATTATTTCTATATACGTAAGGTGCCTGATTGTCTGTGTTTACACTCAAAACTATCTGCCTAAAGTTCAATATGGCGTATCGGGACCACGATGCTGTTGTGACGTGTCAGTGACTTATTGATTGGTATATTGATTGACAGATTTAATTAGTGAAAATTTCCGTAATTTTGTCGGTCATACATAAAATATGTTTTTAAAATACACTTTAATCAACCCTGGTCATGAGATTTACATTTAGACGCCATGGTATTTAAAATCTAATTTTCGTATTTCACAGGACATCATTATGACAAATTAATTTGGTGTTGGCATGACAAGACTATCAACATATTCTTATCAAATTGAAGACGATACACAATGACTAATATAAATTTAGTAATTCCACTACCATACGCTTAGAATTACAATTGTCGCCATGCTCGAAAGCACTTAACCATTTGTCTCCCGATCTCATCACCACTAATCCAGCTGTCTCTATCTCATCACCACTAATCCAGCTGTCCCCCTATCTCATCACCACTAATCCAGCTGTCTCCCTATCTCATCACCACTAATCCAGTTGTCCCCTATCTCATCACTACTAATCCTGCTGCCTCCCTATCTCATCACCACTAATCCAGTTGTCTCTCTATCTCATCACCACTAATCCAACCGTCTATCTCATCACCACTAATCCAGCTGTCCCCCTATCTAATCACCACTAATCCAGTTGTCTCTATCTCATCACCACTAATCCAGTTGTCTTTCTATCTCATCACCACTAATCCAGCTGCCTCCCTATCTCATCACTACTAATCCAGCTGTCTCTATCTCATCACCACTAATCCAGTTGTCTCTCTATCTCATCAACAATAATCCAGCTGTCTCCCTATCTCATCACCATTAATCCAGCTGTCTCCCTATCTCATAACCATTAATCCAGTTGTCTTCCTATCTCATCACCACTAATACAGCCGTCTCTCTATCTCATCACCACTAATCCAGCTGTCCCCCTATCTCATCACCACTAATCCTGCTGTCTTCCTATCTCATCACCACTAATACAGCCGTCTCTCTATCTCATCACCACTAATCCAGCTGTCCCCTATCTCATCACCACTAATCCAGCTGTCTCCCTATCTCATCACCACTAATTCAACGGTCTCTCTATCTCATCACCACCAATCCAGTTGTCCCCTATCTCATCACCACTAATCCAGCCGTCTCTCTATCTCATCACCAGTAATCGAACTGTCCCCCTATCTCATCACCATTAACCCAACTGTCTTTCTAATTCATCACCACTAAACCAGCTGTTTCTCTATCTCATTATCACTAATCCAATTGTCTCCCTATCTCATCACCACTAAACCAGCTGTCTCCCTATCTCATCGTCACTAATCCAGCTGTCTCCCTATCACATCACCACTAATCCAGTTGTCCCCCTATCTCATCATCACTAATCCAGATGTCTCCCTATTTCATCACCACTAATCCAGCTGTCTCTCTATCTCATCACCAGTAATCGAACTGTCCCCCTATCTCATCACCATTAACCCAACTGTCTTTCTAATTCATCACCACTAAACCAGCTGTTTCTCTATCTCATTATCACTAATCCAATTGTCTCCCTATCTCATCACCACTAAACCAGCTGTCTCCCTATCTCATCGTCACTAATCCAGCTGTCTCCCTATCACATCACCACTAATCCAGTTGTCCCCCTATCTCATCATCACTAATCCAGATGTCTCCCTATTTCATCACCACTAATCCAGCTGTCTCTCTATCTCATCACCACTAATCCAGCTGTCTCCCTATCTCATCACCACTAATCCAGTTGTCCCCTATCTCATCACTACTAATCCTGCTGCCTCCCTATCTCATCACCACTAATCCAGTTGTCTCTCTATCTCATCACCACTAATCCAACCGTCTATCTCATCACCACTAATCCAGCTGTCCCCCTATCTAATCACCACTAATCCAGTTGTCTCTATCTCATCACCACTAATCCAGCTGTCCCCCTATCTAATCACCACTAATCCAGTTGTCTCTATCTCATCACCACTAATCCAGTTGTCTTTCTATCTCATCACCACTAATCCAGCTGCCTCCCTATCTCATCACTACTAATCCAGCTGTCTCTATCTCATCACCACTAATCCAGTTGTCTCTCTATCTCATCAACAATAATCCAGCTGTCTCCCTATCTCATCACCATTAATCCAGCTGTCTCCCTATCTCATAACCATTAATCCAGTTGTCCCCTATCTGATCACCACTAATCCAGTTGTCTCTATCTCATCACCAATAATCAAGCTGTCTTCCTATCTCATCACTACTAATCCAGCTGTCTCTCTATCTCATCACCATTAATCCAGCTATCTCTCTATCTCATCCCCACTAATCCAACCGTCTATCTCATCATCACTAACCCAGCTGTCTCCCTATCCCATCACTACTAATCCAGTTGTCTCTCTATCTCATCACCATTAATCCAACTGTCTCTCTATCTCATCACCACTAATATCTCATCACCACTAATCCAGTTGTCTCTCTATCTCATCACCACTAATCCAACCGTCTATCTCATCACCACTAATCCAGCTATCTCTCTATCTCATCACCACTAATCCTGCTGCCTCCCTATCTCATCACCACTAATCCAACCGTCTATCTCATCACCACTAATCCAGCTATCTCTCTATCTCAACACCACTAATCCTGCTGCCTCCCTATCTCATCACCACTAATCCAACCGTCTATCTCATCACCACTAATCCAGCTGTTTCTCTATATCATCACCACTAATCCAGTTGTCTCTCTATCTCATCACCACTAATCCAGTTGTCTCTCTATCTCATCACCACTAATCCAACCGTCTATCTCATCACCACTAAACCAGCTGTCTCTCTATCTCATCACCACTAATCCAGCTGTCTCCCTATCTAATCACCACTAATCCAGCTGTCTCCCTATCTCATCACCACTAATCCAGCTGTCTCCCTATCTCATCACCACTAATCCAGCTGTCTCCCTATCTCATCACCACTAATCCAGCTGTCTCCCTATCTCATCACCACTAATCCAGCTGTCTCCCTATCTCATCACCACTAATCCAGCTGTCTCCCTATCTCATCACCACTAATCCAGCTGTCTCCCTATCTCATCACCACTAATCCAGCTGTCTCCCTATCTCATCACCACTAATCCAGCTGTCTCCCTATCTAATCACCACTAATCCAGCTGTCTCCCTATCTCATCACCACTAATCCAGCTGTCTCCCTATCTCATCACCACTAATCCAGCTGCCCCCTATATTACCTCGCCACCACAGATTCATTTGTCTCCCTATCTCGGTTTCACTACTGCATCTGTCTCCCTATAAATCCTGTCAATACATATTCATGAATTGTTTATAAGAATATTGTATCAGGTTTTATATATCAGGAATTTGTAATAAAAAATCATTTAAATTTCGCCAAATTGTCCCTAACAGCAAATGCTATTCATTCTGTTAGAGACAATCAAAACTGGTGTTAT